CGGGCCCCCCTCCCCTGAGCCCCTCCCCAGGTCCCCCCTCCCCTGAGCCCCTCCCCAGGTGCCCCCTTCCCTGAGCCCCTCCCCAGGTGCCCCCTTCCCTGAGCCCCTCCCCAGGTGCCCCCTTCCCCGAGCCCCCTCCCCAGGTGCCCCCTCGCTCCCTAGCGCTTCTTGTTCACTTGAGGAGGGGCCACGGGGGGTTTCATGGGCTCTGACAGGTTCCAGGGCAGTTCTGTGGCCTGATGCGGGTGGCCACTAGACTGTGGGAGTCTGGGACCCCTTGTGGCAGGGAGAGCCCCACTCGACACCCCGCACAGAATTGCTCTGAGAACACCAGAAGCGGACGGCAGGGGTGAAACAACACTCTGCGAGGCTGCCCCACGTGCAAGCGTGCCGGGTCCCACAGAGACCTCCCTGTGCATGCTGGGCACACACGTGGCCACCCTCCGGGGCTGGCCAAAGCCAGGGTGGGTCACGGTGTCAGGACCCTGTCAGGGGTGCTGTCCCTCTCTCTCATGGAAGAAATAAATAAACTTAAAGAGAAGGTGGACAGGACCTGCCCTTGCCGCGGGCCTGCCTGCTGGCCCTGGCAGCCTGCGAGCTGAGGGACTGGGGCAGGATGCCCTCCTGCAGGAGTCCCCAGGGGAAGGGCCATCACACTGCAGGGAGCTTGCCCAGCCAGGACGCCTCTCTGCCCCCAGGCCTGGAAGGTGGCCCACCCACCTTCTCTGCTCTCTGGGTCCCTACCCTGACAGCTCTTAATTGAAACTACAGACATTTCTCCTCTGGACACTTTCTCAAACTCTGTTTATGCTTCTAATTCCAGTTGGGTTGAGTTGACACCCTTTCTGCCAAGGCTTTGGAAATCATGGATCAAAAGATGCTCTGTAGGGAACCAGCAGTTAGCATAATGGCTATGTCACTGGACTCCCATGTAGTCAACCGAGGTTCGCGTCCCGGACCCGGTGACTTAAAACTCACGCCGGGCGTGTGTGCGTGCATGACCAAGATCCCGAGAGGAGAATGGAGGAGAAGGGATTGCAGTGTGACCATCCCCCCTGGGGGGTGAGTTCTCGCTTTCTGTCTCTATGTCTCTCTCTGTCTGTCTGGCGAGTGCACGTGCCCTATGGCGAAAATCTCTCCAAAAACAAAAGAAGATGCTCTGTAGAAAAAATGCCCTAGAAGATAGAGATTCTGATCATTTCCTGCTTCGTCATACTTGCTTATGACGGCTCACAGCAGCATTTTCATGGCCCTCCCAAATCCCAGGCATCGCCTTTATGATCCGTGGCGTTAACTGGACAGGGGAAAGGCTGCGGTGAGCTCTCCAGGGA